TAGCTGTAAATCAAAAGTTTATCACTGCCGAATCAAAAACTTATCGAATCGGCCAAATAATCATTCGGTCAATTTTTCTGCCAGATGTCCCAAAATTTATGAGAACAGCTGTAAAACATATAAAAAATTTTTTTAGAAGTTTTCAAATTTTGTCCTGGATGGGTTATGAAAACCAATTACAGCTGATTTCATAAATTCTGGGACATCTGGCAAAAAATTGACCGACCGAATATTTGCCGATTCGATAAGTTTGTAATTTCGCTGCCAATTCAGAACTTATCGAATCGGCAAATATTCAGTCGGTCAATTTTTTGCCAGATGTCCCAGAATTTATGAAAACAGCTGTAATTAATTTTGCATGGCCAATCTTATGTGTAATTTTTTGATTTCAAACCAATAAACTTAAATTTATTCACACTACAGTGGTAAAGTACTATTAAAGTTTTATGAATTTACAATACCAAATACACCGCGTTCAATTTAATTCCCAAAAATCTTATGTTAATTAATTAAATTTGACATTTAATACTACACAAACCTTAACCAAATTTTAATAGTATAATTATAATGGTGTTAATAACATAGAGGTCCAATCCGGATAAATCTGTCATCCATTTATCTATATGTTATAATATACATAATGTTGACTTTGAGTCTAAATAAAAAGTTTATTTTTAATGAAAAATAAGTAAATAGATCGTACGAAAATAAATCTATTTAAATAAAAAATAAATAAATTATACAAATCTTCTTTAATAAAAGTTGCAAATCAAATTAGAAAGTGTGCAATATGTCTATAATTGAAACAAATTCTGGTGCTTCTACACCATTAGAATCTACACAATCAGAATCAGAAACTAACTGTGATCTTCCATGAAAAAAATTAGAAGAGGTGATCCTGTCTTTGATGAATTATGGGACTATGTAATTAAGTGTGAAAAAGTAAATCCTGGACATTACAAGACAAAATGTTTCTGTTGTGAAACGTCCTGGCAAAGAGGAAGACCTTATATTTTAAGGTCCCATCTTGCACTTTATTGTCAGTATGTACCTGAAGATATTAATTCAATGATGTTATGTATTATATACTGGATTTCAATATTTAAAATAGTATGCTATGCGAAGTAATAGAATAATATTATTATTGCTTTAAAAAAAAAAGATCCCGTGAATAATTGTTAAATTTGTTTTTCGAGAATTTACATTATATAATAAAATTATATATTAATGCGTTGAAATACAATGTATTAAATGTTACAGCACTTATCAAATGTTACGACAAATGCAATTGTTAAGGCACATGCAAGTTTTTACGGCATATGTGAGTCGAGGACCTTTTGACGTATTGTCATATCTCAAGTTACAGTTATCAGAATGTAAAAAAGGTTACGTCACCGATCATATTCCTGCACCCATAGATAGGAACTCTACCAACCACAAACCAATATGCTTCGTATTATTCAAAATCATTATGAAATACAAATCAAATTTAGAATTTAGTTTGTATAAACGATTTGAAAAATTTTAATTGTTTTAATTTCTTGTTATATGCGCCAAATATCATTATTATTTTCCTGTAATTTGGACTACCATTTTTTCATTACCATATATAAAAAAAGATATTTCAACTGTATTTTATATTTAATATAAGAGAATTTACATATTGGGACTCAAATTTGAAAGAAATATGAATGAGGGCCCAACTTAAAAATATTTATTTATAAAGGCCTAATTTTTGAAAATATTACAAATAACGGGCCCTAATGTAATCACGGGATCATTGCGCCATAACATTGCTCACCTCACTCTATAAATACATGAAATTGTGGTTAAAGATATAATATACGGCTATCAATTTTTATTCGTATAAACATTTATGTTATTAATTTTTTTGTTATTTTATTTTTTTTTTAAAAAAAAGTGTAAAAGAATAATAGTTATACAAATTAAAAAAATCGTCATATTATATTAGCGAAACATTTTAATGTAATTTTTAGATGTATAGTATATAGGCAGAATTTATATGAATGCAATTTTCCATTAAACACTGTAAATTAATTTTCTTTCTGCCTACGTCTTCGATTTCAAGTTTGTATATTATGGCCGCATTTTTTGCAAGTATTTTGGTCTTCTGTGCCGTTTCTCCAAGTAATTGTTATCCCAATTTGTATGTTTTTGACATAACGATAATATTTACAATCGAAGATGATGATTTTATAAGCAAATTGTTAGAAAATCTAGACAAAAGAAATTTACTAATAGATAAGTGTATTTTATACTCATATATTGAATATATGATTACTAATTTACATTTGTTAATATGTAGTAACGATGGCATTTCATATGCGCTGGAAGTAAAATTTGATTTACGTATGTATAAGTTAAATCATAATTGGCTTGAGATAGTGCTTAAGCTACAATGGGCACTGATTCATACCAAAATTTTATTTGCTATACATGATAAAGATATTTCAACTACATTTTATATTTAATGAATCTATGAACAAAAAAAAATACGTAGTATAAAAATAATAAATCCTATTTTGTTAAATGGAAAATGTTAATATTTGCAAATTTAAAATACTTTAGATTCATATTAAAAACAATTATTTATATTTTTATTGGTTTTTATAATCACATTTTCACAATATTACTTTTTAAGAACAAGATTTATTATATTCTCCCATTTCAAGGTCATGATCACGATTTTATTTTAATAATTCGAATAGTTAAATTTCACAAATTTGAAATACTTCATATTCATCTATAATAAACCAATCATTTATGTTTGTTATTTGTTTTTCATAATAACTATTACCATAATACCATTTTCCAGGAGTAGATTTATTATATTCTCCCATTCCGAAATTATAAGCACCAAACCAAGGACCTTGAAATTTGGAATTACTATAATAAATTGCGTTTGATGAATCTTTTACACGACTAAGAATAGATTTACTATAAGAAATTGCGTTTAATGAATTTTTTGCACGACTAAGAATAGATTTATTTAAATTTCCATTTTTTAAAGAAAAAATAAAGCTATCAGTCGTTGTTGCATATTCTCCACTACTAACTTTCCAGATTAGCGGATTATAACCACCAAGTATTTCATTCGTGCTATTAATTTTTACAACAACCACAGTACCGGGTATATTATCACATAGCCTATGAAATGTTTCAGCACTAAACCCATCCCTACTTCCTCTAAGTAAAAGTTTAAATTCATATGGAATTTCTGTAGTATCATAAATTGTCGAACGTCGATCGATCCATGATGTAATTTCTGCTGCATTCTGTAATGTGATTATCGAAGAAGATATTGTAATAATAGATGTTTTTCGAGGAGGAAGTTGTGTCGTTGCTTTTTTACGAGAAGGTAAAATTGGAGAACTAACAGATGCATCTGGATCTAAAGATCTTGAAACAATATCATCCCAAAGATCCATTTCAAGAATTTTATGATAAGGTTTAATTTTCTTTAAGATTGCTTTACCAGG